GGGCTTTGGAGAAGCAGAGAAAAGATGATCCTTCACATATAGACAACTTACATCCTGAAAGACTGACCCTGGATGAGTTATGTATTAACATTTGCTATTCCAAATACTACAGACCTGGATTATGCAGAGTAATTAAATTGGACTCTCACTAAAAAAACTATTAAAGGTAACTGTAAGTCTAAGCATGTTTGTTAATCGTGCATTGTTTTTACTGAGTAGCCCAAACACGATCTGCCTCAGGGTAACTTTGTACTTGCTGAAGACACAGGGCATGTGGTATTTTTAACCATCACCCCAGACAACTCTCAGGAATCAAATTTGCAAGCTGTTGATCATCTTCTGCTATCTCGTAGCACTATTGTAATTATTTAGTTTCAAATTTAAAAGGTTTCTTGGTTTTGGTACCTCAGCATAGTCTGAATTAAAAACAAAATCTTTCTAAGCTCATTGACTGTTACACAAGCTTTATCAATGTTCAATCTAAGAAGTGATCTCCATAATTCCTCTTGCTTATTCACCTTAAAAATTAAACAGCTATTTTTCATGTCAAAATGGGTTTGTTCAGGAATAGCAGAGGAATTGCTAGCAAGCTCTAGCAAAAGCCATAAGCAAATGCAACAAACAAAGAAGAGAAACCTTATTTTATAGAGAAAAGGGAGGGAGTTGGGAAGGATTATTTTGAAAGAAAGTCCATTGGAGAAAAGTGAGATGATAAGTGGTTCTCACTGGCTGACTTGTCGGGGTGGACAGTTCTTGTAGGTGATGCAATGCACAGATGCTCCTTTTGGGAACTGCCCTTGATGCCTTTCCTGTTGATGATTCTTCCCTGGTGGGCTGTCATTGACAAGCCTTCCTGTAACTGACCTCCAGCGGTACCGCATGAGAGTGCTGCCTTCTGGCCTCCATTTCAGTGAGATTTCCTTTTATTAATTTTCACATGACGCAGCAGTAAAAGGACATTTTACTTCCGCATCTCTTCTCCCTCTCCACTATAGAAAAAAATAAATTGTAGAGAGGACGTCTGCTAAACAAATTCATGGTTTTTCTAACAAAAAGATTGTATATACCTTATATTTCCTGGCAACTGATACTTCAAGGAATGCATTGACACAGTGTAACACATTGTCTAACTTATTGCTCTTGAAAGAGTACTTTAATGCAGGAAATGTTAAATTTTTCTGAGAATCTACAAATTACCAGCTGTACAGTAGAGAATCAGGCAACAATTCCTGTTTTCCCTACGATATTGATAAGAAAATTGAGGCTTACATCGTTAAGCTCCTTTGTCAAGGTCCCAACAGACAGTAAGTGACCTGAACCCTTGTGTTTGACCCCTGGCAGCCAGGCTGCAGACCCGGTGCTTGGACACCCCTGGGCAGCTCTGAGGGCTCCCACCTGACTCTCTCTCCCTCGGTGTCATCCCTCTCAGCTGTTATAGCCGGGCCTCCTGGGCCTGCTCATCATCCTCATGGCATGTGACGTCCCATTTGCTTGCACCCAGGGAGGGAACTGCCACTGCCTCAGGACACAGCCAATCCTCCACCTTCACTCAGAAGTGACCCACCCTGCCTTCGGCATGTTGAATGCTCAATTTTGAAACAGTACTTATTCAGGGTTTAATAGGTACCAGCATGATTTTTAAGAGCATTTTGAACATTCTGGGGTATTTAATCCCCTAATGACCCTGATGAACAATATTTACTTTTGGTGCTGCCATTTTACAGAAGGAAAACCTGAGGCCCAGAGAAATGACTCTTTCTGGTGGTCACACAGCTACTGAAGTGTGGCTGTTGCTTCATATTGTCTGTAAGAATCTAAAGGGACAGTCAGAGCTCTCTAACTGCTGTCTCTGGATATTACAAAACACCCAATCATTGTGCTGAAATCATTTAAAGTAGATCCTGGTGCAGATGTGAGACTCTGGCAGATCTAGGCAGATGGCCCTGTTGCTTGCCTCTCTCCCCTATCAGCCTTAATAATCACAGATGTGCTGTCATTTCAGTTAGTAAGTTAATGATTGCATGCACAACTTTGTGTAGGTAGCACAAAGCTCTGTCCTGTTGTGTTTGAGGGAGAGCCGGCTTCTTTGTCCCTCCCTCCTTCTTTCTCTCACAGTCACGCCTCCTGCAGCCCATTCCTGCTCCCACCGATCACTGCATCTGTCCTCACCAAGGTCTCCAATCATATTCCTTTTCCCTTTATGACTCAGGCCTTTGCTGACTACCCTCTATGTTAATCTACCTCCCACACATTCTGTCCCATGCCTTACCTGTTTCCTTTGGAGCATTCACCATCATTTAATACACACTTAGTGTTTTGCTCCTCCTCTTTCTATGGTATCTGTCTCTTCCATTACATGGAGCTCCAGGAGGCAGGGATTTGTATCCATTTTGTTCACTGTTTGATACTAAGCACCTAGAACAGCATCCAACACATGGTAATTCTTCCATAAATATTTATTCAGTTACTGAGTGATCGAATCATTCTGGAACTCCTGAAATCTTCTCTGGTCACTCCTCAGCTCCTTCAAGTCCCATTCTGCCTTTACTTACCCACAACATGTTAGTGTTCTCAAGTCTCCATCGAGGGGAGGTTATAGCTTAAGTGGTAGAGTGCAGGCTTAGCTTGCATGAGGTCCTGGGATCAATCCCCAGTACCTCTTATAAAAATTAAATAAGTAAACCTGATTACATATGCCTGTCCCATAAAATTAAAAAAAAAAAAACCTACAGAAACTTGTCAGGTCTCCATCATCAGTCCCTTGTTTTCTCGTTCTATTCACTGTGTGCATCATGTTGGCAAGGTTGTCCTAGGTTTCCCCTGAAGACCACTAACAGAACACATACAAGGTATCTGTATCAGGCCTTCACACAGTAGACTAATAGTTATCATTTGAAAACATACAAACATAGAAAATTCACATATAAGTTCCACAAGCAAAAAGCTGATGTGCACGTGACTTGTGTGACCATGAGATGACTTCAGCATCTTGTGTTCTACTGAGTTGTTGCTCTGGGTTACAGCTTCCCATGGCATCTGGACCCAGCATGATGAACCCCATCTGTCTGGTAAAAAGACAGAACAGCCAGATGACAGTAAATCCAAATGCACTGAAGATTCTTGACCAGATATCTCAGCCTGTGGTGGTGGTGGCCATTGTAGGGCCATATCGGATGGGAAAGTCCTACCTGATGAATCGCCTGGTGGGACAGAACCATGGTGAGTGCTGCTCAGGGCTTCTTGGAAGCAGGGATAATGCAGGTGCTGAGCATCTTCCTCCAGGGTCCTGCTCAGGAAGAGTCTAACCCCTCGCACTGGACGGGACTTCTAACTCTCACCACCAAAGGAAATGAAGTTTACTCTTTTGTCCAGTAACAGGGAATTTCCTCACCTGTCAAACCATCCACCTCCTTAGTCCTGATCCCATCACTCCCATCTTCTCAGGGGCTCATCTGCAGTCATTATTCTCCTCTTTTCTCCTTCAACACTTTTGTCCTAAACCACAGGGTTATTTAACACAGCCCACAAACACTGTTCAATATGTCCTATTCTTTTAAAGGAATGGAAGGAAGAATGGACAGCAAAATCCCTGCATCCCATATCTCAATGGGGCTGCTATTCCTTTTTTTTTTTTTGGCTTTATTTCACAGGAAAACATTCATAAACTATACTCTTTCTGTTTCTCTATATAGTATTTTCTAATATGTGAACTTGAACACATACAGAAGAGTGCACAAATATATATATATTACATATATAATAAAGTTGATAATGCAAAGTGATTATCTGTTCAGTCACTGCTCAAGTCAAGAAATAAAACATCACCAACACCCAAAAGCCTGTATCACATGCCTCACATGCTCACAAGAGCTAAGTGATCTTCTGATTTTCATGGTGTGTTCTTTCACACTTCCTGTGTAAACATGAGTTTAAAATCTATATACATGTTTCTAAAACACAGCTTGGACTTTGTATAGGAAGTTGCATGCTGGTGCTAATTAGGATCTTGCTTCGTAGTCTTGCTAAGATGTTTACGAGGTCGATCTAGTTCATCATACATGTCTATAATTATTTTTGCTGATTGCAGAGCATGCAGTTGTCAGAGGGCACCATGGTGTATTCACCCACTGGTGCTGATGGACATTGGTATCACGTGCAGCTCTGCTGCTTCATGAATGGTGCCGTCGTGAGAGTTGTTGTCTCTGTATCCTGGTGCACATGTGCACAGCTTCCTTGTGTGATGTGCCCAGATGTGGACGTGCTGAGTCAAGGAGTCTTTATGTCTTCAGCATTCCTACAGTGTATCGAGCAAACTATTAAGCTTTCTGTTCAATGTGTATGCTTATTAGAAGTAATTTAGAATGCTTCACATCATCATGAAACTTTGGTAAAAACACTTTACCTCTTGCTGATGTGCTGTGTGTATAGTGGCACATTATTTGCCTCAATGCCATTAAAGTTGAGCACCTATTCACGGATGGGATTGTGATTTACATTCCCTATTTCAAGAAGTTGGGGTTTTTCCCTACTAAGTTTCCTACGTGGTTCTTACTGATTTCTAGGACAATGTGCCTGTGTGCTATAGAGCATTTCTGTCTGAGAAAACCACTCACCATTTCCTTCCTAATATCTTCCTCTGTGGTTCAGTGACTTAGCAGAATTAGGGGCTAGGACCTCAGTCCACTAAACTCAAAGGATCCCAGGAATGTCTCATTGTCTCTCTCAGACTCTCTCTGTATTTCTCTCACACTCTCTAGTTTTCTTCCTTTCTCTTTCCTTTTGGCTTTGCAATCTCCCATTAGTTTCAAACAAAACACTCAATCCTTGTCTTTCTTTTAGAGGAAATCTTGACCACCAATCAGGGGAGGACACTTTTCCTTGCCAGGCTGAATTAATTGTCATCTTCTTGAGGGATTAAAGATTTGAGAATTCTAAGAAAAGATACCAGTCAATGAGATTCAATAATGTTCATTTTTTATTCTCCTTGAGGTAATATCAGGCAATAAGGAAGTGATTTCCCTTATGGAGGAAATCCCTACACTAGTTATGTTTTAAAACACCTGAACTGTGAACCATCACACTAGTCATATCACAGGAAGAGCAACACAGACACACACACACACACACACACACACACACACACACACACACATATACACATTTAGTGACCAGTCAAGGAGGATGAGAAGAAGCAAGTCACCACTCTCTCCTTGTGATGACTTCTCTCTGGTCCTTATCTCTCCTACTGACAATAATGAACACCAGGTACACCTTGTCTTTTCTCCTGGGGAAGGTCAGATTGCTCTGCATTAATCAGCAAGCAGTCAAATGCTATTTTGATGAAGAATAGTGTGGATCATGTCAGTGTTATATCCCCTCCATGCAGAGCACACTGCGTTTGGAAACTGAAGGGCCTGAGCCATGCTGAACGGCGCTCCCCTTGGTGTTTCATCACATCCATTTCTGTTCTCAGGTGAAGGCAGTGTTGGTATATGACAGGTGGTATAAATCTTGGACAAGATATATTACCTGTAGCTTCTCAGGCATATACTTCACATCTCTCCCTGTGGGTTTAAATATTTGGAAAAAAATAAGAAATTCTGACAGGTCTTTTCTGCTTTCTTTTCTATTATATCCTGAGTCAGTGAACAAATAATTCATCATTTTGGGGAGGAGAACTGAAAGGAGGAAAATCCAGGTATAAAGGGGAAGAAAAAATCTAGCAAAGCTTGTATACCAGTCCAGGTGCTGGAAGGGCACCGATGATCCACTTAAAGGGTAACTGAGGATGCTCAGTGGTGGGACAGCTACCCAAACACCAGCAGGGCAGAGTGAACCAGTGAAGAAAGTGGAGGCGCCCAGGGAGTGGCATGAGCAACAGCCACGCAGCCATTGTAACTCCTGCAGTCTGAGGAGAAAGGCAGTGAGTGGTTTCCAGAATGTACCAAAGACCAGAGCTACTGGCTGGAGCAAAATATAAGGACATGGGACCAAGATACAGAAGCAGAGCTGCTGGGACGCTGGGGGTCACCCGGGTGGAAGCTACGGGCACACATGCCTGAATTCTGGTCTACTGCTACTACTTCTCACTGGTTCCTCTCCATCAGAAAGTGGAGGAATGGAGCTTTTCAGTGTCAGATAAAAATAGAAGGGTTAATAGAGTTTACAGTAATCCTGGAATGTGACACAATTTGAGCCAATAATGGCAGGAGGTGAATAGGTAACAGGAAGTGTTTCTTGAGATGGTTCTGAAGAGGTACAGAGGTAGGATTTGCTGTTCTTGCTGAAATGGAGGAACCTCCCTTTCAGACAGGCTCTCATGTGCAGACAATGGTAGCCAAGGTAAGCCGAGCTCATCCTGGACCGTCTGCTGTCACTGCACACTGCTTTCTTCTCTTCCTTTGCAGGTTTCTTTCTGGGCTCCACGGTGAGGTCTGAAACGAAGGGCATCTGGATGTGGTGTGTGCCCCACCCCTCCAAGGAGAGCCACACCCTGGTCCTTCTGGACACTGAGGGCCTGGGTGATGTGGAAAAGGTAAAGCAGAAAATCTTCTTTGCTCTTGATAGTCCACTTACATTTTAACTTATTTTAATTTTAATTTTTGGAAGGAGGTGATTAGTTTTTTTCCTTTGAATGGAGGTACTAGGGATCTCGACCCCAGGCTCCCGTGCATGCTAAGCACATACTCTACCACTGAGCTCTATCCTTCTCTTCCACTGAGATGGGAAATTCAAATTCCCATCTCAATTCAAATTTGATGACACATTCCTATATACTGCAAGTCCAATGATGAATAATGAAGCTAAATTCAATTTCCTCTAATTTATTCATTAATAACTTAAATTCTTTGAGTATTAGGGACAGATCTTTCTTTTCACACTGGGGTGAAAGATCCAAATTAGCAAATACTGGACATCAGAATTCCAGGGCTTTGTGTTCAGTGCCACAGACATCACAGTGAGTGAGGTCTGGGCCCAGGGCTTTGTTGGGGAGATAAGAAATATACAGAGTTATCAGTACATGGAAACATGGGTACAGGAAGTGAGAACCTACCCCTACTGCTCAGATTTGGGTACATGGCCTGGTGGAAGGTGTAACCCGTGCGGTCAATGAATTCTAAAGGTTAAGGTGTGTGCGGTTGATGGGGTTAGAGGCGGGAATCATGAAAATAGGGTTTCAGTGAAATACGCCCATTCAATTATCTCCAGAAAAGGTTCAGCTACATTAAGGTCATTCATGATGATTTTAGTCCAAGAGTCTGGGCTTTGAAGAGGGATTCCTCAATGTCGTCTGTAAAGAGTGTGCTCGGCCCCCCAAAAGCACTTGACATGGGGTAATCATAAATACTTTGGGTTATAGTTCTGCTTGCAATCGATCTTTTCCCTTTTATCTTAGTCTGAGTCAGTGTCAAAAGTAGTGACCGTGAGTCTTTGGCTTTCATTACTGCAGAAAAGAGCTGTGGAATGAATTCAGAGATTCTGAATTTAAACATTCATGTTTAAAGTAAACAACAATCACCTCAGTGTCAACCGAAGATGATCGACAGTTCCTAATAGTCCATAGTTTGCATAACCCTCTTCTTTTTATCTCATTACATTTGTCAAGGAACCAGAATATAGCAAATTGTAAACTGATAGCAGATGAACACCTGCTGCCCTCACTACTTGTCATGATAGTATTTGACTCCCTTACATGGCCACTCAGGACTTGCCCTCATCTCGGTTTCAGCCTCACCATCCCCTAGCACCACCATGAGTGCCACTTCAGTCAAATAAAATAGCCCGGTGAAACCTCTGTGGGACCACAGTTGCTGGCAGTACTGATTCACTTCTCCCGGTCCTTCCATCTGCACCGGCCCTTTCTCTCCACAAACCCATGTCCATCAGTTCTTTAAAGCCCAGCTATTTTCAGTTGAATGCCATCACGTCCCTGACCGACATAAGCAATTCTGGCTCTGAATTCAGAGTACTTTTGTTTTGTCCTTTTTTTTTTCTTTTTTGTATTGCATCTGTGACCTTCACATGAGAACATGTGGATGCACTTCAGGCAGTTTATCATCTTGGATGCATTTATATGGTTGCACATGTATCTGTCCCTCTTAGAAAGCCATGTCACCAGTGCTAGGGACAGTCTTATGGAGCTTTCTAGCCACAAAAACAAATGCACTGTCTGGTGTTTTCTAGACACACAATGAACATTTGATGAGTTTAGGTAAGTGACATTTGTGCCCCTAATATAGCCCACAGTTGAGAGAAGTTTGCAGAAGGATCATTGCTCCCTTATTGCATTGCTTCTATGTGCCAGTCACTGTGTCAAACACGTGACACAGATCTATAGTGTTGTTCCTTTCTACTAAAAGCTAATGCAACTGAGCCCCTGAGAAGGGCCCATGTGATCATGGGGAAGGTTTGGATTTAGCATTGTTTTAAAGTTTATGTCATTTGCCGTCCTGTTGAGTTACGGTACAGCTGACATAGAAAATGACCAACCAAATGAGAGAATGAGCTGTGGACTCCCTGCTGCATTCTAGGGTGACTCCAAGAGTGACTCATGGACCTTCGCCCTGGCTGTGCTTCTGAGCAGCTGCCTTGTCTACAACAGCATGAGCAACATCAACCACCAGGCCCTGGAGCAGCTGCAGTATCCTTCCCGGACTGGAAGCCCCGGGTCCAGTTAACTGAGTTGGTGGGAATGGCCGCTGAGGCTTATTTTGCTTTCCCATGACTCCGTTCTCAAGGCTGAGGAGAAGGGGAAATGGGGCAGAGAGGAATGCTGATAAAACTTGTTTTGGGGGGCAATCTGGAAATTGTGTTGTGGGGCACCTCTCATTCCTTAGCTAAGAGCCAGCTATGTGACCGAACTCACAAATCTGATCAGGAGAAAATCCTC